CCAAAGGGGGTAACGGACTGCCCCCATGATCAGCAAGGGTACAGACGAGGAGGGCACACAACCAGCCTGCAAGGCCGGGCTGGGAAGCTACCCGCAGAGGGGGGCAGCCCGGCACCACCCCAGCTTATCCCAAGGGACCCCAGTCTCCCACCAACCAAGCCCAAATACCACAGCTGCATGGAGACCACCTGTCAACGGCCTGGCCGGGAGCAGAGGTCCTACCCCGTCCTGCTGAGCAGCAGTGTATGCACTGCCAGACCGACCCCCCTGCTGACAGCCAGCGTGGTAGGGCTGGGCCTTGTCAGACTAGGCTTGGCAAAGGGCTCAGGCCACTGTGGGTTTTGCACAGGTGATGCTGTGTGTGGGGAAGCATCTCAGCTCCCAATCAGCAAGTTTTAACCTTTGGTGGAGGCGTTGGGATCCGGGGCAGCTGTGCCACCATGCGCCACCAGGGGATGCCACAAACTGGGACCCGAGAGGCCAGGGATTGGTGGGTGGCACCAGTATGAACAGTGCTAAGACAGAAAACCCAAAGGCGCATTTTCCGTTTGAGTCTGCAATGCTCCTTGTGATCAGCTGGAGAACAGAAAACCACCCCCGCCCTGCACATCTTTGTTTCACTGAAAACTCCTTTGGGAGGGAAAAGTCACCACACCCCACGGCTCTTCCTGGCCTCCCGGACCCTCCTGGCAGGGGGCCCTGAGGGAGCAATGGCCAAGATGCCTGGATGGCATCTTGGGCCCCTGAATGCAGAACACCCCCCCACCAGCCTGAAGGAGGGGTCAGGCCCAGACAGGAAGCCCTGACACAATCTGTACTTGCCCCCTTGGACTAAACCCAGCGCAAGGGCTTCAGAAACCCAGTGAGGGAGCCCCCCCCCCCCCCCCAACGGGCTGGGTCCGACACGGCAAACCCCCGCACTTCCTGCTGGCCGGCCTGAGAATTGGAACTAACCCCGCGCTGCTAGGGAGCTGCTTCTGAGAAATGCCCGAGTGACCTAGCACCGCACAGAGCCACTCGCTGCCGGGAATCGGGATTTCCCAGCTCAGAACGAAACCCAGACCTGCCCGTCCCAGAACGCATCCTGTACTCTCCCGTAGGCGGGGTCAGCGAGAAGGAGCATGTGACCGCTAGCCGTGGGCGAGAGTGCATGCACGCGTGTGTGCATGCTGGCGGGAGCGGGTGTGCGCTGGGAATTTGCTGGGGGGTTCACGCGGGTGTGCGCCAAGTGTGACTGTGTGCACACAGCTTATGGGGCAGGCAGGCGGCGTGCATTTGTGAATGTACTGCGTACAGGTGCGGGAGTGCGTGCCGGCAGGGGGGTGTGCGGCCGTCGGGGGGGCTGCCAC